TTATTCTTTTTTATTAATTATACTTAAAGATAAAATAATAAAGATATATATATATATATATATATATAATTGTACTCTTTAAAAATAATAATTATTTATAATTTTTTAAATACTAATTTATTTATTTATTTTATAGAAATACGAACTAGTATATATAATTGCAAAGAATCCTATAAAAGGGATTAATTATAGAAATATTATAATTCGATCGATCTGTTCATAACGAGAGAACAATGAGAGTGAAGACAACAAATTTTCTCCTTGAAGGTTGTCCATAATTTCCTCCGCCAGATTTTCTTATACATCAACTGCATTTGGGTCAAAGTCCCTAGTTTTCATCAAATATACATAAATCAAATCTGTCTTTCAAAACAATTCATTTTGATTGAAAGTTGAAAAATTAGTTGGAAATTAAAGTTAAAAATAAAAATTCGATAAAATTAGCTAACTAAATTAAAAATCTTTGACAAAGCTTGTCCTCGTTGAATCAGTTAAAATCATATAAAATGACATATTGAATTACTTAGACCATATAGTAAACTTTAGTAACTATTTGTATATTTAAATCGATAAATAGTAATATATGTACAATAATTTATACAATATTATTTGTCTTTCTATCATTAATAAATTAAATCGATAACTATTTGTCTTTCTATATCATTAATAAATATATTTCTTTGCAATAAATAAGTTGATGGAGGAAGTTACAACTTTATTAGTACATTTATTACTTTTTACTTGAGTCTCGTATTATTTGTCGTATTTATTAGTTTCTTTTTCTATTTATTTTTAATTTGTTCACGTGCAAAACACCACAGTTTTGTGCGAGTACATCGTAAAAGGAACAGACACAAGTATGAGTGAGACACGTAGACATTCACTTATAAAGAAAGGGTTGGTAGAGAAAGATAGATAATCATAACCTAATGCAAACAACGTTATTTATTTAGTTAACTAATCATGTCTTAGTTGAATGCATCGCATAATGCATGCCCACTCCACTCTCTTCATTTTTTGCCTTTGTCCCTAATGTTGCGTATTAAAGGTGTGCAAAAAGTCTAAATTGATCTGAACCGATCCATAATCGATTTGATCCATTTTGAAAAATTCGATCCATTTTGAAAAAAAATTCAAACCGAACTACTTTATAAAACTGGTTCAGTTATTTAGTCCATTTTTACAAAATAGATCGGTTTGGTTCGGTTTAGTTTTTTAAAAAAATCGATCCATATGTGAGTAAAAAGTGGATAACTACATCGTACCGAACCGATCTATTTTCAAAAAA